GGTGGGACTGATGGTAGAAAGTAGGAAGGGAAGAAAGGGACATTATTTTGATGCAGAATCAGGAACTTTAATTCCTATTACAGAAACTTCCCTGTTAGCACCAAATAGCAGGTGTGATGAAAATGAATATCCTCGTCTTGCCTCTGTTCTTGTGAAAATCCACAAATATGGTCTCCTCCTTACATATCCTTGTTGGTGATTAGATCATAGGGCCTGATACTCATCAGTGGACCAGTCCACTGTGATATTGGGAGGTGAAGCCTGGTTAGAGGAGGTGGGTCACAGGGGATGTGGCCTGCAAGGGTTTATCTCTTCTCTGTTCTTCCCTGCTTGCTCTCTCTGCATTCTGCCATCATGGCATGAGCTGTTTTTCCTCTGCTGTGTTGCCCTTTCTTGGAGCCAGCCAAGTGTGGACTGAAATCTCTATAAACTGTAAGCCAAAATAAACCTTTCCTCCTTTAAATTGCAGAAGTTAGGTATTGTGTCTCAGTGATGAGAAAGTAACTAAGACAATCCTTTATCTCCACACTCCCACATATCCTGAAATTTGTTCTGTTCACCATCACATCCCCATTCTTGCCTGTCCCCAATCCCCCTTTTTGCCACAAAGTCCTGTTCAGGTATAAATCCACTGGCTCTTTGAAATCTTGCCTTTGAGGTTGTTGTTAAAGCACCATTTCCAAGTTGTAGGAGTCTCTTCCATGGTGAAGAGCTGACAGAGCTCCACTTAACTCTTGTTATTGTCTCCAGGCCTTTGTAGGTCCCAGTGTGTACTTGATGCCTCTAGGAGAATCCTAAGTCCATTAAGCCAGTTGATGGTGGCAGATTGCTTATTTATAACATTTCACACTTGTATATGATTAGTACTGTACCCCATTTGTGTTTGTGCAAAAAAAGATGACCATGGTTGTGCATCACCTGATGCAGAGTTCCTAACAAAAACACAATTTTGCCAAATGCTTCTGTTTACAAACCCAGATTGTTTGGCAACAAAAGCATTCATGAACTGAGGTACCACTGTAATCATAAAAACAAAAATTTTGAATGAATGTTAAAGATGAACTAGCTCACTTTAATTGTTTTGTGGGTTAAGAAACTGAGCCAGAGTTAAATAATATGGCTGTTATGCATGCATGAATCAGTCACACAAGCTGGGACATGAATCAAGTCCTTTGCCATTCCAGAGTGCTCTCTCTTGGTCTTGAAGCATTTTGCTAAAAACTACCCTGAGACACTTATCCGTAGCATTGGCCACAGTTTCAAGCAGAAACTATAACTAATAGTGTAGAAATTGCCTTTTGGTCAGAGTATTGGGGAGCAGATGTGATTAAGTTATACCACATACATGTCTGAAAATGCCACAGTGAAGCCCATTACTCTGGACAGTCAATATACACTATTAAAAAAATGGCAGAGTATGTTATAAAAAGGAATACCGTGTCTTTCTCTTCCTGCTTTCTGGGGAAACTGGTCCTAAGCAACAACACATGTAAAGAAGTAATGAGAGCTGGGCGATAAGGAAGTGGATAATTTATAAATGTATAACTACTTTACCATCAAGAATTTCTTTTTTTTTTTAAGAGTAGGAAAGATTATTGAAAGATAGCTTCTGTCTAAGAGAGACAGAATGGGGACAGGAAAATGGGTTGCCCCCCATCAAGAATTTCTTATGCAGACAAATCTCTTTCTGTTTATTTAGATCTTTTCTTTTTGGTACCGGGATTGAACTCGGGTCCTTGTGCTTCCAAGGCAGGTGGTGGAACCACTGAGCTAAATCCGTGGCTCTATTTAGATCTTTTCATTGAAACATAAAAATAGATTTTCATTATACTTGTTAGTGTTTGGAAAGGCTCCCCGAGGGGTTAAAATTTTAGTTGATATATGTAGGTTCAGTAAAATAAATAGGCAGAAATGAAGTAGAAGGCGAGGGAGAAGGGTTTCATACTGAGGAAATGGCATGTCCAGGCTCTAAAGGGCAGAGTATGATTAGTCCTAAGAATCGAAAGGCCTGCGGAGTATTTGGGACAGAAAAAGTTAATACAAAATGCAAGGCCTAGTCATGAGAATAGTAATGGTATTGAATATTTATCATCAAAAACTTATGAAAGAAGTGAACCTCATCCACAGAGTAATTCTGTTCTATGTTAGAATTTTGTTGTCTTAAAGATTCACTTAAAAAAACTACTTAATGCTGCTTCACTTGTCTGTTTTGTTAGGTAGAGTTACACTAGGATTTAGTTTAACTCAGTTTAATCCAGTTTAAATATGTATTGTTTTTTATACCTTCGTACTTCTCATTTACTTTTCTATATTGTTTTACAGCAAATTGAAATATTTTGATGTGTTGGGGTATTGAGATCAGGGATTTTTGCTGTTGAACAATCAGAAATAACAGAGCGAATCTTTTCCTGTTTTTTGGCTGAGAATTTTGTGTGGGTGTATGAGGTGCAGCTGCACTGTGGTTTTCTTGGCAGTCAAGACAGGGCAGTTCTCAATGTAGTTCATCTTGATTAGGAAGAAATATAAGAGTAAAAAAGCTACTTTGAATGTATTAAAATTCAGTGGAAGCACCCAGGCCTGGATCTTTGCCCCATATCTTCATTTATTTGGCGAAAGTGGATACAGCAGCCTCAGGCCCACAGGCAGGCTTTATGACAAGAACACAAAACATTAAAAACCAGTCAGACTTTTCTCTCAATATAAAATTACTGCTTACCACATGTCATTTTTAAGTGAAGTTTTTAATCGTTTATGATTTACCAAAGTTTTTTCTCTAAAGATGACAGTGAAAAGGGCAGATTGTAAAAAACTAGGTTTGCGAGCAAATGTGAATTTAGAATTTTCTGTAGTTTATCTTTTCTCAAATCTGTTTATACACAGATGGATTCTCAGATCTGCTTTTATTGCTCACTTGTTTTTTTCACTCTCCTGTGTCCTCTTGTGTGGTCTTTAAAAACATTTGTTTTTCAAAATCCTCACAAATGCAGACAATATGGAATTTTTCATTTTCAAACACATTCTCATCCTTTCCTTTGGATAAATTCATTATTACCTTTATACTCTGCAAGCAAACAAAACCCTCAGAATTGCTTCCAGTGTTTAACTGCTTCTTTATGTCTTTACTGTCACTGAGTGATACTGCTTCAGAGTAGTGTAGAGTTGGGTTCTGCCAGTCCAGTCCAGTCTTGTTATTTACTCTTTTGGTCTCATTAACTTCTCAGTTCCTCATCTTCATTACGGAGAGAGTCATGTTAGCACTCTGTAAGTTTTTTGTTTGTTTTTAAGACTTAAATTAAAAAGCATTTAAGAAGGGCTTAATTAAAAATGAGTGCCCAGAGGAAAAATGTTGCCATTTTGTCCCTTGTTTGGTTCCAGTCTCCTAGAATCTGTAAATAGCTGTCTTCACTATTTTATGTGATCTAATTCTAAGATCATCTGGATTCCCCATTAATATCTCTTTCCCTGCCTTCATTCTCCCCTAAGCTGAACACTTGTTGCATCTGAACACTGTTGCATTGTCTAGATTTAAATGTCTAAAAACAGAACTTTTGGTCAACATCAACTGCTTCTACTAGCCTCCCCAATTTGTTCCTTAGTCTTTTCTGCTTCACTTAACGGTACCCCTTGTGTTAATTTTCCATTACAGTAAGAAATACCTGAGCTAAATCAACTTCCAAGTCAAAAGGTTTATTTTGGCCCATGGTTTTGTTCCAGTCCAAGATCAGGTGTACACATTACTTTTAGTGGTCTTGTAGGGAGCAGCACATCATGGTGGGAGCATATGGTAGAGCAAAGCCTTCTACCCATGGCCAGGATACAAAAAAGAGAGAGGAGAAGAGAGCAAGGTCTCTGAGGGCACATCCCAAATGAGCTACCCCTCCAGTTCAGCCCAACTCCTAAAGGCTGTCTCATTTCCCAGTAACACCATGGGCTGGCGACAAAACCTTTATATGAGTCTTTGGAGGACATTCAGATCCAAACTGTAACACCTCTGTAGTTTTGGATTTCCTCTGTACACCAGTCCCTGTCAACTCATCAGCACATCTTATTAGCAGTATCCCCAGAATATATCCGGAATCTGGCCACTTACCACCCTCTGCTCTATTACTGTCACAGATTAAGGTAGTAACTTCTTTTGCTTGGGCACTTATATAAAGAAGGGCCTCCTTTTTTTCTCCATTTTCCATGCAGTTCATTCTTACAGTAAAGAGTGATATTTTAGAAACCAATTACTGCCTTTCTTCTTGTTGAAATTAGAAAAAACTGTTAACAGTTTTTTGAAAGTCTTTCATGACCTGGCCTCTCTCTGACTTTCTGCCTCTCAAATGCAGTTGGTTTATTCATTTTTGAAGGCTTTCATACTAGCTTTACCCTCTGATTGGGCTTTTTTTCCTAAGATCTTCAGAATATGGTTCCTTGAACTTCTAAGGTCAACTCTCAAAGAGGCTTATTCTGACATCTTTCTTTTCTTTTCCTCCTTTTTTTTTTTATTTCTTGTGGTGCTGGGGATCAAATCTAGGGCTTCATGCATGCTAGACAAGCACTCTACCACTGATTCACTGCCGTATGCCCGATGCTTAGACTGGAACCTGATACTCAGAAGGTTTATCACAGTATTACATGGATGGGTGGCTAGGTGAAGAAATGAATAAGTGTATGCCTGGTAAGTTTTTGACAACCAGGGAAAGGATGGAATATTTCATTCTCTATAAACTTTGTAATGATACTTATTTTAGAATTAGACATAATATTTGTCATGCTAATACTTGTCCTAATTGCTTTTATGTATTCTGTTTTAGTTTCTAAGCCTTTATGATAGGAGGTGTATCTTATGGTTTTTAACTTCTCATAGTCTGCTAGATACCATTTTAGTACTTATTAAGTTGAATTGAAAATTCAGTCTAACATCTTTATTTCCTCTAAAGTTTTGTCATATGTATATATTTTAATTCCAAAGGCACTGGGTTTAAAATACATTTCTTTTCTTTAATCTCTTATAGTTCATAATTGGACTATTGAGGATACCATTCAGTGGTTGATAGAATTTGTTGAACTTCCTCAATATGAAAAGAATTTTAGAAGCAGTAATGTCAAAGGAACAACACTTCCCAGGTGAGTCTTTGCTATCCAGATGTGTTTTTTGCTCATGGAGATTTATATACTACATGTCATTTTTCAATGCTGAATTCATAAGATACTTCTGTGCTGAAAGCATAAGAGAAATATTATAAATATATCCATTCTTTAATCTTTTTAAGGTATGTATTTTTAAGTTTTATTCCATTTTTCTTGTCTACATAACCAGGCCTCTTAAAAATTTATTCCCAAGAAAAATAATTTTTAGAATTACAAAGTGAGTCAACTGTATCATTTTTAGGTAACGTAAAAGGTTCAACCTTTGATTATCTGGTAAAGCTAAGAAAAACTAACTCATTTGGTACAGATCCATTTCCATGAAGACACCTATTTTAATGGGGTAAGGGACAAATCTTTCTTAATTGGTACTTTTTAATAACAACCAGTTAGTCATAGTGGCTGTCAGTTAGATCTCAATTAAAAAATGAATTAAGTGGGCTGGGGATTTAGCTCAGTGGTTCTGCCATCTGCCTCGCAAGTGCAAGGTCCCGAGTTCGATCCCAGGTACCAAAAAAGAAAAGAATTTAGTAAACAAAAATATTAGCAACCATTTAAAAATTGTTATGTAGAAATACTTATATTTTATTTAAGCCTCATTATTAAAATGAGGTGTATATTTTACAGGCTAAAAAATATCATGTCAGAGGCAAGTGTTTTCCAAAGTTAGCATTTAAGGGCTGGGGATTTAGCTCAGTGGTTCTGCCACCTGCCTCGCAAGTGCAGGGTCCTGAGTTCAATCTCTGGTACCAAGAAAAAGAACAAAGGTGGCATTTAAACCTCTAGATAGATCTGATACCAAAATCCAGGATGTTCTTTTATCTCTTTGATATCTGGAACCCATTGATAGTTTTCTAAATTATATATTCTAAATTTCCATTACTTAACATGACATTCTTTAAAGATTTCAGTGTTAAAATTTGCAATGATTCTACCAGAATCATTGATAAGATTGCTTCTTATGTTCTCTTTGTCCCTGAATTGTTTTGTACATCAGAAAAAATTCTAAACTGGGTGCAATGATGCTAGCTGGTAGTCCTTTGCCAAATGCTTCTGTTTGCCAGCCAAATTGTTCACAAACAAAAGTATTCATGAACCTAGGTACCACTGGTATAGGGAAAACATACAGGAAAGGCATCAGTGGAAAACACGAAGGAGGACATTTTGAAAAGGGAAAGTTAGAGCTCTGTAATTCTTTTCCATACTCAGAGGTACTGATATCTTCCTAAGTAATACATAGTGGTTCAGAGTAGTCTTTAGGCTCATACATATTCAGGTTTGAAGTTTGCCTCACACTAATTATGTAACCTTGGGCAAGTTACTCAGTCTCCTACAAATATTCTCATTTGTAGAGATACTATATATATTATAGAGTCTGCCTGAGTAATAAGCCATTGGTGATTTTTATTTTCATTATTATTAATTATATTAGTATTATTAGATTTTATGTTATCAGCTCTTTAGTGACATTGTATTTGATTGCTAAAAATCTTAGTTGAGTACTAGGCTGCTTGGATTTTCAGTCTCAAATGAAGTGACTTTATTTCATTTCACCTGTGTCATTTGGTTCTTTACACACTTTCTTCATTACTAATAATATGGCTCAGAAGTGCTTATGACATAAACTCCTCCACAGATCCACTTCAACCCAACAAGTCTTCTTTTTTTGTTATTATTTTGTTTTTTTGTTTTTTGGTATCAGGGATCAAACTCGAGACCTTGCGCTTGCGAGGCAGGTGGCAGAATCACTGATCTAAATCCTTGGCCCTACAAGGCTTCTTTTTACTTAGGATGTCAGTTAGTTTGTTCAGTTTTTAAGCAGGTTAAGCATTAGAATATAATTTAGAATATGGAGTTATTAGTTTTTTTTTTAAAGTGGCATGACCTAACTTGAGAACTGTGCTTTTAAAGTCTGCTAATGATGTTATTTCCAATTTTGTTGTTCTTTATGAAATAGTAATGAAATCCTAGTTAATTAATGATTATAAAGTATTTTCAAATTTATAAATTTCTAAATCGTCAGTTGTAGCAGAAAGTTACCATAAGAAACAATAACTTATTAATATAGCAACTAAATAATTAACATGCAGTAGTCTTTCAGTGGCTAAGTTTGCATTGAAATGGGATAGAGCATCAAATCATATGGATTAACTCTTAATAGTGATCATCACTAATTATAAAGTATTGAATGTGTTGTCCATATATTTAAATTGGTGTACTAGAAATATTTTCATTTAATGTGTATGTATTTTTTAAATGAACAGGATAGCAGTGCATGATACTTCATTTATGATTTCCCAGCTGAAAATCAGTGACCGGAGTCACAGACAAAAACTTCAGCTGAAGGCACTGGATGTGGTTCTGTTTGGACCTCCAACACGTTAGTATTCTCTCTCACTTGGAATATGATGTAGCAGCATAGTCTGATCATGTCTTTATTATTTAAGGAAGGAAAAAATAAGAAAAGTAATAGACCACTAAGAAGAATCATTTATTAACTGCAAAAGAAATGCAATCCTAAAACAAGATTTATGGGATGAAATTGTCTGCATTGAAACATAGAATATGAATTTTTGAAGCTGGTTAATGTAAAACGTTGTAAATACATGATTAAATGATGATTTAGAATTTGTAGGTTTAAAACTTTGGATCTTTTTAACAGTTTTAATGTTGTTATAACTGGATAGTCATGGAGGAACTTCGATGGCAGGATGTAATAGATATTAGTAATTTAATTACTCATCCAAAATAGGACTTTTAAAGTCCTATTTTTTAAAGTCCCATGTTTTTAAATAAAAACTCAAAGCTTTATAAAGTAACAAGACTTTCCTGGAAGGAGCATAATGTTTGATTATTTTGAAGAGGAACATTCAAGAAAGTGCTATGTCATATCTGTAAAGAAAATAAACTGTGTATTTCTCTACCCTGACAGGAATAACTTTTTTCCCCAGAAGAAAAGTTCAATATGTTTATTTCATTAATTTCGAATTTCAGAGAGAGAAGTACTTGAAGAGTATGTACATTAGAGAAATTGCATTTTGTTTTTTAGAAGCCAAAAAGGAATAACAAAATTAGTACAAGAAAAATGGCATTTCGCAAATGACAAATTAGAAAACTCATGTTTTATTCTACCCAAATTCTTGGAATTAGACTTTCAGGTTTCTATGATACTGGTAGTCTTGAGGATAGTCATTCTAGAAAGGGTCCAGTAGTTAAGTAGATTCCATCACTGTACTGGTAGGTGTTTGTTTGTTTGTTTGTTTTTGGCTCAGGCTAAAAGAGCAGCTGGTGAAACAGCTGGAACTTTCCCTTGTAAGAGTTGGTGGAAGTGCACTGTTGGTGGAAATTACAAACTCTAGGGAAGCGAACACGGCTGAAATGCCAAGCGTTCCACAGATATTATCCTCTTGCTAACCTTTTCTTTGTCCTGTGTTCTAGACTCAAGCTACTGGGGAATTGTCTTCTCAGAGATTCTAAATGTTTTCAAGTAAATGTTTAGTGATAATAGGAATTAAACTATAGAATTTGCTGTCTGGTCAGGAATTTTTATATTTTCTTTATTAACTTTGGGAACAAGTCACTTTCTAAGCCAGAGGATATTATATTATCAAGTCATTTGAAAACAAATCAAACTGAACTCAAAGACTGTCATAAACAAATATTTTAATCAAACCAGTTAAGAAGTTAATGATCCATTACCTTTTAGTGTTCATATTAGAGTTATTATTTGAGTGAATGAGTACCATAGTCAGATCTTCGGTTCTAGATTCATAAAGAAAATAGCATTATCAAATGACCACAGATACATTTTAAGGAGAATTCACTTAAATATTTTCTAGTACGTGGTGCTTATTACAGAGCTTGGGACCTGTCCATTTATTTATTGCTAGCCCTGGTGATTATATTCCAGCCAGAGTCAGAGAACAGGGCTCTTAGTCAAAGTAGAGCCTGACCCAAATCTCTCAGAGGCAGAAACAGGGCTTGTGACATTGTAGCCCTTGGTAATGCACCTCTTCCATCAGATGGCAGAGTGTGTTCTCTGGAAATATGGATCATTGAGGGACCCTGGCATAGAGCTCACTACCTACCATACTGTGCAAACACAGACCAACCTTAGAGTTGTTAACATGGGAATGTGGGCTGTCTGCAGAGCTCTCCTGAGGCCTGGGTATATAGGCAGTTTTCCACTGTAAACTATGAGTATATCTCTCTGGAACATTGAAATAATACATTATATTGTGCTAATTGTCATTGTGTTGTCTCCCTTCCAGAGATTCCCCGAAATATTAGTGAATACTATCAGAGCTAAATTTTAAAGGATTTATTAGAATAATAGTTTCTCTGTTGTGTGTCACTGAAGACAGTAGGCCCTAGTGCCTTTATCTTTACTTTAGAGGCAGTGCTGGGGCTGGCATCCAGCATTGGGCAGCACTGATGAACATAATTAGTTAAATAGCTATCTGCATTGTGAAAATGCTTTTGGGAGAAATGCGGGGTGTCCATTTTGTGTCTCAGTGATAGGTGTCTCATTTGACTAAAGGAAAGGCATTGGAATGATAATGGTGACACTCTGTGACTCCCTTCATCCACAGAGGCCCATTCTAGCAGCATCTGTGTTGGATGCTGTTGCTTTTTAAACTATGACTTTGGTTACTACTTTACTACCAGCTGGACCATGGTGTGCCCATGTGTGTTTGTTTCTGCCATTCTATAGGTTAATTATATCAGAGAGTGCCAGTAAGCATACTGATTATTTGGAGAAAGAATTTTGAAAACATTAGTGTTTATGCATGGGAAGATCTCTAGTGTTTTTGATTTTAGATATCTATTATTAAAAAATTACCTCCATATTGAAGTTTATTTATGCTCAAAGGTTAACTATCAGTTATTTTCTTCATAGGCCCACCTCATAACTGGATGAAGGATTTTATTCTCACTGTTTCTATAGTAATTGGTGTTGGAGGGTGCTGGTTTGCTTATACACAGAATAAGACATCTAAAGAACATGTTGGAAAAATGATGAAAGACTTGGAGAGTTTACAAACTGCAGAGCAAAGTCTAATGGAGTTGCAGGAGAGGTAAATTAAACAACTCATAACTCTTGTTATTTACACAGGAAATGCAGTTTGTGGAAATTAATATGAACATGTGTAAACACATATAGGTTGGTGCATACATTAGGAATGTATGCCTATTTGATTTCTCATATTTTTAGGAAAATATAACATTGTCATAACTATAGATTTATCATAAATGGTGTTTGAGGATAAGTCGGTAGAAGATCAGTGGAAGAAATCAGATATAGGTGGAAGTATATGTGTAATGAAATTTTATTTTTAACTTGATTTAAATAATTATCTTTAAAGTCTCTTTCCAAAAGTTTTTCTCCTATACCTGTTTTTTGAGTGCCAAATAACCAAAATAGCTATAGATTGCCTGATATTTTTATTACCAAAATTTAAAATTAATAAAAAGTGCTGTGAATTCTGATTAAAATTAAAATAGGTATCAAATTGCATGACAATATTTTTTCTTTCATTAAGAAATGAAATTTTGGAAACTTTTTGAGGATTTTTTACTTGTTTTCTAAGGCTCGAAAAAGCACAAGAAGAAAACAGAAATGTTGCTGTAGAAAAGCAAAATCTAGAGCGAAAAATGATGGATGAAATCAGTTATGCAAAGGAGGAAGCTTGCCGGCTGAGAGAGCTGAGAGAGGGGGCAGAGTGTGAATTGAGTAGGCGACAATATGCAGAACAGGAGTTGGAGCAGGTACTCATGTTTTGTTCTTTCTTTTTAAATTATCTTTTTAGTCTTAGTTTATTAGTATATGTGTACAGTGCAAAATGTTTACGTTCCTTGTGTGTATTTGGTGCGTGTACATAACACATCCTAGTCCCCTTTCATCCTTTATCCCTCCCTTCCTCACCCTCCTTCCATCTCTTTTTTTTGTTTGTTTGTTTGTTTTTTGGTACCAGGGATCGAACTTGGAACCTTGCGCTTGCAAGGCAGGCGCCAGAACCACTGAGCTAAATCCCCGGCCCAGTCCTTCCATCTCTCAATCCCCGTGTCCTTTGAATGCCTGAGACCATGATGTTAAGCGAGATAAATTAGACACGCTAGCTGAAATATCACATTATTTCTCTTACATGAGAAACCCAGAGTAAAATAAAGGCGAAATAATAGGTACTTGTTTTTTAAAAAAGTATTTGTTAGGATATTTGTATTGCCTCTTCAAAGAGCCAGGTGGTGTTTTTATATAATCCATTACCTTTAATTCCATTGTATACTGTTCCTCAGCAAAAGAATCATTTGTTCATGTTGTTAGCATTTATCAAAGTCTGTATTAAAACAACAAAGTAGTAACTGAAGATAAAGTTATTGTCAGTCATTTTTTCATGAAATCTTATTTCATACTCTGTTAATGTCTTGAGTCAGTTTAAATGAATAAACTTACAGGGAAGAGATACAAAAACCACAGTGAATAAATATCTATAAAGTGTTTAGGTAACATGTGTAATGGTCTTTTTTTTTTTTTTTTTTTTGCAGTACTGGGGATTGAACTCAGGACCTTGCACTTGTGAGGCAGGTGCAGTGCTTGGCTCCTTAATGTGTTTTGAGTTTATGTCATGTAGTGAAATAGAGTCTATCTAATTTTGAACTTTTCTGCAAAGGTAAAGGTTCTCAGTTAGGTATCAATTTGAATCCTGTTAAATGGTTTTAGTGTATAACCTACTGAAGTCTTGAAGCTGTTGGGAAGATGTGTCCTTCCTAATATCTGCTTCTCCTTTTCAGTTATTCAAAATAGAGTGTAGGCATTTAGTCATTGCACAGAGTCCTTTGGAGAAGGTGGGGTCCTAGGAGAATTACGTATGTATACATATGCATTAATACATATGTATATGTATTAGTTTCCTCTTGCTGTAAAAAAAAATTACCACACACTTAGTGGCATAAACATATATTCATTGTGCCGGGGATTTAGCTCAGTGCTGTGGCACCTGCCTCAAAAGCACAGGGTCCTGAGTTTGATACCCAGTATCGCAAAAACAAACGAACAAACAAACAAATAAACACACATTCATTATCTTTAGCATTTCTTCTTTTTTTTTCTTTCTCTTCAGTACCAGGAATCAAACTCAGGACCTTGCATTTGCCAGGCAGGTTTGATGCGGCTGAAATACATCCCCAGCCCCACATTCATTATACTTAATGCTCTGAAGGTCAGAATCTAAATGGGGTGCACCGGGCTGGATCTTGCAGGCTGTAAAAGACCTGTTTACCTGTCTTTTCCACTTGTAGAGGCATTTGGCATTTCTTGGCTCATGGCCTCTTCCTCCATTTTCAAATGATGTAACTCAAACTTTTGTTGTTCTGGTCCCATCTTCTTTTGATTTTGACACTTTCTTCACTGATAAACAGAGGAACAAAATGAAGTTTGGGAGACTTGCTGAGAATTAGAGTGAGTCAATTGTAAAGTAGGGTCAAGACCTAGATTTCTGCCTCTCACTTTGTTTTATGCAGTACTGTGTTCTCAGTTGTTAAATAAGAAATATGTGATGAATGAGTTTTAATTTCCACCTGTAGAAAAATAGGTACTATGCATTGCTGTTACCTTCCAGATTTTTGTTTGGGGAGTGTTCGTCTGATGGAACTCAGGCTTCTATTTGATACTTTTTTTTTTTTTGTACCAGAGATTGAACTTGGGACCTTGCGCTTGCGAGGCAGGCGGTGGAACCACTGAGCTAAATCCCTGGCCCCTATTTGATACTTTTAACTGTACTTTCCTTCATACCCCAGACCTCTGTTTATTTTTTGATATCTCTTCCTTGTAAGGAATTTGTTCTTTTAAATTGACTTTCACACATATTTTGTAGTCGCGTCTCATTTACCTAGCAAGCCTTGTCTATGCAGAATGTAGTTAATAATCAGGGAAACAAAATAGGCCTAGCCAAAATTATATTGTGTCTGCAAATCTAGATATTATGCCCTTTATGCTGTTGCGAGAACTCCCCGCCTGACCCCACTGAGATGTCTAACTTTTGGTTTGTTCCTAGGACTATTAACAAGCTTGTTAACTGGTTTTCTGACCTTAATAGATAAGAAAGAGCAAATCAAAAAGAAATGACTGAAACATTTTACAGGTGTTTGTTTCATAGTAAGAGAGATCACAAAGTATTTTTTAAAACTAGTATCCAATAGTTATCGACATTTTAATCTGAGGTTTTGGCATAAACAGCTTGCACACCTAGTCCACCCTAAGGTTACCATGATGTGATATACCAATCTGAACATAATAATCCTAGTGAGATTTTGAGTTACTCAGATGTGGCTTAAAGAGGGAAAATGGATATTTTAAGAAGAACTCTATACAATGTGCTTATATTGATAGAAGACAATTTTCTGAGTGCTTAATGTGTGCAAGATGTGTGTACATCCATTGCCAGTGTTTGCTTATTTTAATCTCTGCAAGACATAGGTATTTATAGACAAAAGGATAGAGAGGCTGAATAACTTATATTACACAGCAAAGATAAGATTTTGTTTTAAAATTCATCTTCCAAAGCCTATTTTTTCCATAGTGCTGTTAAAAGCTTCATTTATAGAAGTAAGTTTAACTTGCAAATTAATTTACATATAATTTCACATAACCTAATTAATTCCATGTAGTTTGAACTTTTCTAGTATTTTTTCGTGGGGAATAATTGACTTCTCCAAATTAGAAGGCAGGAAAATCTGCTGCTTATTTCATATGGTATTCTTTTCCCTAAAATGAAGAAATTTTAGGTGATTGGTAAGTGCTACTTTGTATTTTGTGTGATTTAAATACATGGGGTGATCATACATGGTGAATGTTTTAGTTAAAAAATTTGTGTTATAGTAAAAGACACATTGATGCCCCTCAGAATGCTCCCCCTCCCTTCACATGCACTTATCCCATTGTTCTTGCCACTTTCTCAAGCAGTTTTGGAATTTCTCTTTCGTGTCTTTATAAGGTATGATCAAAAATATGAATGCTATTCCCAAGTTCATGAATGGAAAGGCAGGCTCCTAAAAACATGCTATGTCCTCATTCACCTTATTCACCATGTCTGACCCTGTGCAACTTCTGGCTTTTCCCCAAAGTCAAATGACCATGAAAGATAACATTCTGAATCAATTCAGGATGAGCCGCAGCAGCACAGCTGAAAACACTCATGAAAGAGAGGACTTCTAGAACTGCTTCAGAAACTGTTTGAGGGGCAGGGAGGAGCATTTTGAGGGAAATTAGTGACAATGTGTCTTTTTTTTTTTTTTTTGGTACCAGAGATCGAACTTGGGACCTTGCGCTTGTGAGGCAGGTGGTGGAACCACTGAGCTAAATCCCCAGCTGGCAGTGTGTCTTTTATAGTAATAAATTAAAAATAATTTAATCCTTGATCTAATTTTTTGATACCTGTAATTGATACGACTAATTTTATCATACCTTGATAGTTTTCACATAATTATTTTGTTCTTTAAAAACAGTCTTAAGAAGATATACTTAATGTCAGAATAAATAATAACACACCCCTGTTCTAAATGAGACAATAAAATTTAATAGAGGGAAAGGAATTTGCTCTTAAGTTTTAGAGGTAGTAAATAATAAAATTGAGTCTAGAAGCCAGGGTTTCAGATATTTAGGCTGTTTCTCTGTGACATGTTGTAGCCTCATTTTTAACATAAAATTATGTAAATAATTATCATGTTTTTGCCTACTAATAATTCTTACTCTGTAGAAGTCATTAACTACTCAACCTTGTTTTGTTCATTCTCATAAATAACGTAATTCAAACTGAGGGAGGTCAGATGATGAATTTATGAATAATGGAGAAAACAGTTCAACAGTTGCCATTATTGGAAGGTCGCAGTTCCACAAGTTTAGAACATTATTTAACAGTCAATCTAAATATTGTTCAAACTCAGCCCATGCTAAAAATACAGTTTCTATATTAAATTTATTACTCTTGGACTTTTTTTAGGGGAAATAAATGTATGAAGTAACGTTAAGGAAAGTCTTTATGATTATATAAGAGAATGAATTGTTGTGATTCTTTGTCTGCAACCTTGGGATTGAAAATTATGTAGAAATTTTAATTTTAAAATATTGTGAGTAAAGGAGTTTGATGACACACTTTGTGGTGTTATACAACTGCATGTCACAGGACCTGAGGTCAAATTTTCTCTTCCTGTGAGATTAGCAGGGACGCCACACAGCTTACCCAACCGTTTTATTAAACACGTATTGTCCCGAGCACGTAGCACAATGAGTTTTTCCAAGCCAAAGTGGCCTAGAATTTGCTTTCAGTGACTAAGTCCTGTCTTACCTCTACATTTTTAATGTTTCTTAATGTTTAATGTTTTGAATCATCTTCTTACTGTCCCATTGTGAATATTAGTTTTTAAATTACAGTTAAAAAAAAAACCTTTTTCCACAATTCTTTTTCCACAATATCTGACAGCTGTTCTATTTCTTTATCAGAAGTTTGTGTATAGTCCTCTTAGTTTATTCTGGCACACGGTAAAGTTCATTTAAATAAGCTGGCTTTATTCAGATCAAACGTTCCTCTGTACTTTTAGTTTAGAAATGAACTGACAGTGGCTATGCAGGAAGCAGCATACTCCATAGTTCACTCATTACTGAAGGTCTTGAGCTGTATGTACTTAACTTTGTAAATTGTCATGTGTCTTCACATAACTTTAGCTTGCACTTTTGTTAGTTTAAGTACATTATTCCAAGAATATTCTCTTTTCTTTCTGTGTCATTTTGGCAGTGAGGCTTTCCTTAAGATATTTTTCCTTAACCCTTATTACCAAACCATCCCACTAAACATTTTAATTTTTGCTGTTTTATTGGCTGGTTCCTTCAAAGGGCAGGTAGGAGAAATACTACAACCACCTTATACTGGAAGCTGCCCATGGTTTTTCAGGTAGACCCTTACTCAGAATCTATTTTCTCAAAATTTATGTATTTTTTAAGTACTTAATAACTACTTTGTAGTACATTAGAGGCAGCGAATTAAGTAGAAGAAATAGTAAAACAAACTAATAGGTAGATATAACAGTGAGAAATAACTGGTCTTAAGGAAAGTATACAAAAAACTAAAGAAAGAAGCATACTTTTAAAAACTCTTTAGTTAAGGAGCTACAATAGAACCTTTTGAGAAATTGAGGAGTAATAGAACAGATACCTTATCTGATTTGGGACACTTCCTCATATTCTACTTGAAACAGAAAATGCATCCTAGAAAAAGTGTGATCAGTTTGAATTTTTATATACCCCTCATTTTTGTTCTCAGTGAGCCTGAGTTCTGTAAAATACAAAAAGTCAGTATTGCAGAGTCTCCCCATCACCCTCTCTGGCATTACACCTATTCTTTATGAATTCAAGATGCACTTAAAACTTTAGCTTTAGTGTTAATGTGTGAAATATATTGTAGACTTAATGATTTAAAAAGAAGTCTGTAAAGACCATAATTAAAGTTGCTTTTTCTTTTAGTTTTGGTACTAAAAAATTTTTAATCCTTCTTTGTTCCATGATTTCCTTCTTCCAGGTTCGCATGGCTCTAAAAAAGGCTGAAAAAGAATTTGAACTGAGAAGCAGCTGGTCTGTTCCGGATGCTCTTCAGAAGTGGCTTCAGTTAACACATGAAGTAGAAGTACAGTACTACAATATTAAAAGACAAAATGCTGAAATGCAGTTAGCTATTGCTAAGGATGAGGTATTCTCTTTTATTTCAAAATTAATTAAATGTATTTCTTAGTCTGCTTTTTTCTTTTTCCTGGTACTGGGGATCGAACTCAGGACCTTGCACTTCCAAGGCAGGAGTGGTTCCCTGAGCTAAATCCCTGATTCTTAGGCTTCATTTTAAAAGGGACTAATCTACTGAAATACAAAGATCTAAATACAAATTTTGTCACTGCATATTTTCTTGAATTAGAATTTATTATGTAAATTGACTCAAATAATCATAGGTTTTTAAGTTATTGTATTCAAAGAAGTATGTAGCTTTCAAAATGACCACAGTGTCCTTTAGAAATTATCCCGAGTGTCATTATTGTAAAGGTTTTATATGGGGTTTTTGTCCTCTAGGTTGCTGCTTCATGTCTGATTCAGGTTAGTAGTTGCTAGAAATTAATGTTGCTTGTCTTAGGAAAGCATGCTTTCACTCTCATCTGTTTTTCTTTTTTTGAAAAACAGGACTGTATTTTGACTAATAATACTCCACTGGTTTTATGATAATTAATTTCTTCAAAATCTAAGTAAATTTTACTAGTATATGGGTGTGTTTTTTTAAACCTAGCCTTATTTTTCTCCCCTTGGGTTTCTAGGCAGAAAAAATTAAAAAGAAGAGAAGCACAGTCTTTGGAACTCTGCATGTTGCACATAGCTCCTCCCTGGATGAGGTCGATCACAAAATTCTGGAAGCAAAGTAAGAATGTTTCTTTGAAAATTTATCTGCTATTATGTTGAAATTCCATACTTTGCAGACAATCTATGTTTATCATTGTATCATTCACAATTATATAATTAAGACTAATTCTGAGATTGGGTAATTCCTTCTTGAAATTAGTTAATTGCCATGGTCTTGTCATGTAATTGCTCCCCCCCTTCAGTGCCATATTAAAGACTCCTTGATGCAACTAGTAATTGCTCTATTGACTTTTCAGAAAAGCTCTCTCTGAATTGACAACTTGTTTACGAGAACGACTTTTTCGCTGGCAACAGATTGAGAAGATCTGTGGCTTTCAGATAGCCCATAACTCGGGACTGCCCAGCCTGACCTCTTCCCTTTATTCTGAGCACAGCTGGGTAGTGATGCCCAGAGTCTCCATTCCGCCCTATCCTATTGCTGGAGGAGTTGATGACTTAGATGAAGATACACCTCCAATAGTGTCACAGTTTCCTGGTAAGTGGTGAGTTCAACAGAGTGTTGGTATAGGTTTCAAGATAACTTTCTATCATGTCCTTTTAGGACTCATGCGCTTTGAAATCCATGACAAACATTTTGTTCATTCATTTTCCTTTTTCCTCGTTGTTGTTACTAATTTATGTGCTTGCTATATAAGAGTGCTGTGTGAGGCGTACACACACACACACTATATATATATAGATATATATAATTTTTATATGTATATATTATGTATTTTACTTATATATGAAAATATACTATTAAGCAACATGAATGCTTGATTATTTTATATAACTGATCATAAGTGTGTTGACTATATGACTTTGTTGTTAAAACATTGCTTGCAATCCATATGGAGATACCCCAGCTATTCCCCTACTGGGTATATTCCCCAGAGAATTAAAAGAATCATATCACAGTGATATATGTGCACCCATGTTCATAGCGGCACAGTTTGTAATAGCTAAGGTTTGGAAACATCCCAAGTGCCCATCAACTGGAAACTGGATAAAGAAGATGTGGTTTTTTTATAAAATGGAGTACTACTCAGCCATAAAGAATGAGAAACTAGAGTCATTTATAGCTAAATGGATGCATATTGAGGCCATACTCTTTCTTGAAATAAATAGGACACACATGTGTAAATACCGAATAATTTCTCTAGTGTGAGAAACTGAAAGTGTAAATAAGGATGAAAATGATTAAAATGAATAATTGATAATTTGAAGTAGGAAAAGGTCCAAAGGTGGAGGGGTGGCGGGAGGGGAAGGGGAAAGGGAAAAAAGGAAAGGAAAAATTGTGAAAGAAAAAAAAAATGGAAACAAAGTCTGTGTAAATAGGGAAGGGTGGAGGGGGTGAAGGGTGCACAGGTAATGGGGAAATAAATAAGAACTAAGATACATCATGTTCAGGTACAAGCACCCAATGATAAATGTAAATGTATTGTATACCTAAAATGTACCAATAAATATATGTAAAAAAAAACATTGCTTGCAACTGAAGTGAGTCACATTAAAAACAATTGACAGTAAAAATAGTACATTATAAATGCCAAATTTTTGTAAATATGAACTGCTGAGCTTTGAGGGAAAGCATCCTTTCAAATGACAGCTTTATCTATAGCTAGAATAAAAATTAGGGAAAGATTGTGGCAACCTAGCTAGATATAAATCCTAGCTCAGCCACTAATCCACTATTGACCTTGAGTCAGTCTGATTTTTTAAAAAAATTAAGTTATCATTCCAAGTATTCATGCTTTTTAGTATTTTGTTTTACTTTTTAAATTCTGTCTTTTTGTTGAGAGAGTATCATCCTGCTGTATTTAACTCATAAAGTACTGAAACAATATGCCTTTTAGCAAAATTAAATTGTGTTTAAAAAGCTTATAATCTCTTTTATTGCTAGATAGTAGAACTTCTCCCAGAGATAGTTTTTTTGCATACATAGTTTTTATTAATTGCTGAGTTGTGGTCTGTGCTTTAAAATATTCACATTCTGAGAAGAATACATTTCAGTAGGAAGGAGAAATTTAAATATTTTAACTTCGACTTTATGCAGTTACAGAGTTTTTGAATTTACAGTGGTGTTTTTCTTGCTATTACAAATCATTGGTGAAACTGCTTATTACTGCCTGCTTGATCAAGTTTTTTCTAATATTGAGACTTAAAAAACTATGTAGAACAAGGTTCTGAAGACTGGAGAACAGAATTTAATTCTTGCTTGGTTGAAAACTTACATGGAAATTTTAGTTTTTGAGAATAAATCATGATATATGAATATTTTTCAAAGTGAATTTTTCTAGCCAGTTTCTTCAGCTTTCTTGAAGTTAGTTTTATAAAAGATCCTCATTGTATAAAACAATTACATAAAAAACCCTTAATTTGAAAATTAGTTCTCAGCCAGTGACTATCTGCTTAATTATTTTTCTGGCTTGAAATCTCTGGTTTCAAGGCCCACTTACAGTGTTAGGAGAGTGAGGAGGCAGTAAACCCTTAAGAGGTAGAAGTAGGCAGATTCTAAGTGCAGCAAACAATAGAAGTGTATGACCTCATTCTTCTCACTTGCCACCCACTGCCAGATAGTGATGGCTGCACATTTATGTCTAGATCCAGGCCAGCTGTATAGTTTCAGTATCCTAGGTGTGTTTATTTGAATTATATGCCTGTAACCTTGTTAAATACAACACCCAATTCATAGGTGTATGCGTTTGAAAATTACAGCTTTCTTAAGTAATTTCCCCTTGAAATCTGTAATTACTCAGTCTAGAATTGTGCTTGAAGATGCATTCCCCAAATTAACTCGGGTTTTTTTTTTCTTTGCCTTTTAATTTAAAACACTCCATGGAGGGAGTGATGGCAAAATATCCATGTCCATTAAAAGAAGAAACACTAAATGTGAATAATTGGCCCAAGTTTTAAAGGATTTGGATTTTTAAATATGAAAAAAATACAAGATTTAGTTTGAAGTTTAATACTCCTTTTTTAGAATTGTTGAAATCAAATTATCTCAAACTATAACCGATGTCACATACTACAGTTGGAGAGCTCTGCCTCCACCCAGTGGCATCACAGTGGTACTCCATTCGTCTGGCTATAAAAGCCTAATTTATGGACCTGATAAACAGGAAGCTGCTAGCAGTAGCAATAAGACTCAGGGCTAGGGTGATGGTGCTTCATTTTTATACCTCCTTAGCTGCTTTAAATGTTTTTTTCTTTTTTTAACCACAGGCATGCATATATACATTTTATGTTGGAAAAATGACAAACATGTTTGTGGTATGTTAAGAACAAAGTAAAAGATTTTATAAGATTTTATACACAGAATAATATTATCTATGCTTAATTAAATGTGAAGAAAAAACAGGAAAAATATAAAATTAGTTCTGTGTGGGCAACGGAATGGAGGATAATTTTTCCCCTAATTTTTATTATCTGATAAATACTTTCGTAATGGGACTACAGTAGCAGTTTATTTAAAATTTCATATAAAGCCCTTCATGTGTACTTAAAACTACTGAAAGCAATATGCCCATTTATCAAAAAGATAATAAATTTTAACACTTGCTTTATTTATTCCTTTTTCTCTGAAAGGAACCGGAAATGCACATCCCCTTTCCTTTCTGGTCTTCTAAAGTTTTGTATTATTCTGAAGCCTGTTATAATATATACCATTGTTGTATATTTAGAAATTTACATAAATGTAACCAAGTTGTAGGTAGTTTTGTAACTTTTTTGCTCAAAAATGTTTCAACAATTTCCTGTGTATGTACAGGTTAAATTAATAATGAGTTAACCACAGTTTATTTACTTATTTATTGAAAAACCATAGATTATCCATGTTCCACTGAGAGATCTTTCTGGTTTTTTGCCCTTATAAATAATATTGCAGCAGACATTCTTATTTATATCTTTTTGACATAACTCTTGAGAGTTTTTCTACATGGACACCTGGAAATGAATTGCTAGGCAGTGGGAAGGCACCTCTTCCTGGTCATTGCCAAGTTGCTCTCAAAGTGGTTCTGTCAATTTACATACTCACTGTTTGTAAGTGCTTTTGTGCCTGGGATATACCCACACTCATCCTTTGAAAGATCTGATTAATTTGTTTTGAAACTTGAATAAGTTTCTAAAGTTTTCATTACCCAGATGTCTGCTGAGGTTGAATGCCATTTCATCTGTTGGCATTTGTCGTTCTGATTTCTTCCTCTCTGGAGAAATTGAATTCCTTACTGATTTGAAAGTGTTCTTTGTATTTTCTGGTTATTTGAAGGTCACAGGTCTTTTCTCCTAGGTTTTGGCTTTTTTAATGACAAATTTATTACTCTGACTTTTGTTTTTTATGTTTTTAGAAGATACTGTAACAATATTGTTTGTACTTCAAAACTTTTTAGGTTTTCCTTTAATTTCTTACTCCTTTGATCCACCTAGAAGTTATTTCTGTTTGTGTGAAGTTGGGGTATAAATTTATCTCTTGCTGTATGGGTAAACAGTTGTCCGAGCCTCATACCTGCTTTATCCTTGCCAATATATAATACCTCTTCTCTCCATCCATATGTAAATGCTTCCAGCCCTCTATTTAGTTCCATTGGCTTCAGTCTGCTTTAATTACAGCTTTGTAGGAAGTATTGATATTTGATAAGACTAAATCATCTAGTATTAAACTCAAAATTCTTACTGTTGACCAGCTAGTCTTGAGTTTTAAGATCAGTTTATGAAATTCTTTGAAACGTTCCACTGAGAGTTATTTTGGTGGGGGGAGACTTTCTTTGCATTTATTGATTTATTTGAGGAGACTTACTATTAATAAATTCCATTTATTTAGATAAAGTTGATAATTTATTTCTTTTGACCAGCTCTTGCATGTCCTTTTAAAAAAGATTCATCTATATGTACTTTATGGCTTTTTTGTAGTTGTTCATGCTATCTTTCTTTAGAAAATTATGAAACAAGTTGCTTCTTGTTCATGAAATGTTGATCTTTGTATGGACAATAAGGTTTTTTCCCCAATCCTTGCAGCCCCCCTCCACTTCCCTCTCACCCAACTTTATTGTCTAAACTGAGACCTACAATAAAATAATTGAGTAAAAATGGTGACTACAGGCAATAGGATTGCCATTTCTGTCTTTAAAAAGAATACTTAACAATATTTTACCATGTAATATGATTTTTTTTTGCTTAGTGTTTTTTGGTAGTTTGCTTTTAAGGAAATTCATTTGTATTCCCATTTTCTAAGAATGTTTTTCTTTTAAATTAGTGCCTGTTAAATTGTATCAAATTGTGTTTCTACATAATTGAAGGTAATCACTTTTTCTTTATTCCATTGAATTTTAATCTGTTTAAATAATTTCCATTAAACATTAGTGAAAATATAGTTACCTCAATCTTTCTCTTTTTTGGCATCTTTAATAATACATGGTATTAGCAATAATTTTCCTTCCTAACACTATCTTTGTTTGACTTTTGTATCAAGGACATACTAATACCCTGAAGTGAGCCGTT